GCACATATAACCACCACGTGTGGAGTCCCCACCATGGCTTGAGGACACTGTGGCATCACACACATCTTCTGTACCCGAGTCTCCAGTAGTGCCTTCATTGAATGAGACTGCTTTCATGACTTGCTGAGTGCAAAAATCTCTCAGATGTTTTAGCCAACAAGAATTGTCAAACAGCGTTCACTCTGCTGGATCTGTTGGGCAGGTCCTTCCTCCCAGGCCCCGCCATTTTCTGAGAGCTATGCAATAATGTTGGTCCAGCAGCCGGGCCACCTATCCAATCAGGAAGCAAAGTCCCCATCTGTTCTGCCCTGGCTGCCCTAGCCAAGGCATTTTCTACCTCAGCCTCAGGGCATATGAACCATGACACTATAAAACTTGAAGGGTTTTATGATGGATACCAGGTAACCGCCAGAGTGACCTTGGGGGAAGTACATTCAGTACTTTGTTACACAAATCCACACAACTGTCTTGCCCCATCTATTTGTCCCAGGATATCAGCACCTTTCCAGGTCCCCACTCTGGGAGGCCTCTGACTTTCTGATGATAAGGCTTCTGGAAAATCAAGTCTTGAAAGACTAAGCCACTCCCCTTTAATTCCAAGGACTTCTAAGAAGCCAAGGAGCCTTCCTCCTCCTCCTGGAATGAAGTCTAATTTGCCAAACAGAAAAGTCTGACTTTTTTTTTTTTTTTTGTTCTTGCTTTTTAAATTGTCTATCTACTAGGACAGCAACACTGAATCAAAAGAAGGAAAATTGTACATAATCCCACAAATCAATTGCAAATGTTCTCATGTACTGTGGTTTTGCTGGCCTTTGGTACACATTGTTAATAATTTGTTACCCAGATAAGGAATGTACCACCAGAGAATGAAATACTACAGAAGGAATAAAATGAAACCCAGTGGTCTTCTACCCCACCCTAACCAACAGGCACACATCCCATCAATGACTATTAACCATTTCTTTCCTTTTTTTTTTTTTAATTTTTTTAAATGTTTTATTTATTTCTAGGAGAGAGAGAGAGAGAGAGAGAGAGCGTGAGCAGGGGAGGGTCAGAGAGAGAGGGAGTCACAGACTGAAACAGGCTCCAGGCTCTGAGCTGGCAGTCAGCACAGAGCCCGACGCGGGGCTCGAACCCACAAACCGCGAGATCATGACCTAAGGGAAAGTCGGACGCTTAACCGACTAAGCCACCCAGGCGCCCCTCCTTTTTTTTCTTTAACCATTTCTATCCTAGTTCTTCCTGAGGCTGTTAGACCACATTTTCCAAAGGAGAATCACCGAGGACAAAGCCCACAAAACACAAAAGGAGTTGGTTATTAAGGTTTATTTTAGTCTGGCTGGACAGCCCCTCCCAAGAGTCCTAGGAAGAGTCCTAGGAAGAGCGCCCCCCCCCCCCCCCCCCCCNTAGAGGTGGGGGTTGCTCAACAGTTGCTTGAAGAACATGTTTGACCCTTCTAATCACAGTGTTCACTAAGGATTTACATCTCAGGGACTTGCTGCAGCCAAGAGGAGGTAGGTTGCTCAACTGCTGACCTTTTACCCGAATAGAGTTTGAGATCAAACAATGGTTGGTGTCCTCATTTGCAAGCCCCTCACCTTTTGGTCCAAGGGAGTTTTTACAAGGCCATCTCTATAATTCTGATCTTTTATGGCCTATAGACTTTTTTATTTTTTTTAGAAACCAAATTTTTACAGCTTATAATCAATTGAGATGAATAGAACTCCTATTCTTCCATTTAGAGCACAGCATTCTAAGCACAATAATGTATGAACAGGATAATGGATTGTATGGCCTATAGACTTAACTGACTTCCTACTCTGGTAAACAGTGTAGATTTGGCTCTAATTTCTGTCATATTGCCATTTGGAGCTCTAATTTTGGTCTCATAAATAACCTATCATATTTAAAAGTCCACTTCCTAAGATGAGGATACAGGGATACTATGTCTCCCCACTACGTCTCTTTCCCCTTCTACATTACAACAGCTACAGACTGTACCATCACTATTAGTGGTGGGACCAGTGGTGCTCTACTCCTGCTCTTATGAAATCCTCACATCACAGCTCTGGGTTTCCTCCTTTAAAAAAGCAAAACACGGGGCGCCTGAGTGGCTTAGTCGGTTAAGCGTCCGACTTTCGCTTAGGTCATGATCTCGCGGTTCGTGGGTTCGAGCCCCGCGTCAGGCTCTGTGCTGACTGCCAGCTCAGAGCCTGGAGCCTGTTTCAGTCTGTGACTCCCTCTCTCTCTGACCCTCCCCTGCTCACGCTGTCTCTCTCTCTCTCTCTCCTAGAAATAAATAAAACATTAAAAAAAAATAATAAAAAAAAATAAAAAAGCAAAACACAAAAGCAAACCAAAAAAACCCCAGTACCTCCTGTTTATATCATATCTATGCAAATAATATCCAGTGGAGGACCAAATCAAAACAATCTGATTATATATCTCTTTCTTTTATTTAAATTTCACAAGTCTTCTGCCTCTTCTAAGGAGAAATATTAGTATCCGGGTCAAATGCATCGATCTTACTCATCACAGAGTATAGATGGCAGGGTCCGAAGATCTTTCAGCTTTGGGGAAGTTTTCCTTTCTTTCCCCTTCCCTTCCCTTCCTTTACCTTTACTTTCCTTCTCTCCCTTCCTCTTTTCTTTCTTGCCCAACAACCTTACTTTTAATTTCATAGTCTATTCTTGTTCTCATAATTCCTGTTTAAAAAGAGCATCTTACATTTATTTTTCACTTGCAATTATTCTTTGCAAGTGAATACTTTTAAATATTTGGTTCCCTGAATGCCTGTTCTCTTTGGGGCTGGTTTCTGTTTTATTTTAGATATTTTTCATGTTGAAAGCTTTCTTCATTTTTCACACCTTGACTCCCATCCATAGTGAAAAGACTATCAAAGAAAATAGGAAATTCCATAGGTGGGTAAGATTGGTTTAATAGCATGCTTTGCTATAGGGTGAAAAATGCAAGAAGCAGTTATTAGGATGAAGGTCCTTATAATGCCTAAACAAGGCAGCCTTTGTTATGGAACACAATCCACCAAACTCTCTAGTCCCTCAGACTATTTTTAGCACATACCTTTCTCCCTCCTCTATTTTTTGCTTACCCACAGCCAGATACTTACTGTAAGACAAGAGAAAAAAGTGATGAGGGAGAGAAAATTCAGTTTCATGGACAGACTTTCCATTAATCCTGCTTTTCTCCCACACCTCTCAGTGTACAGCTCTGCCAGGGGACTGTGGCCTCTACTGCAGGCTTCTCTTCACAAGATCCTGGCATCAGCCTTTCCCACTCTGCATCTCCAGCCGATGCTCTCACATCTGCTTTCACCTTGCTCAAATTTGCAGGTATGGCCTCTCCCACTTTCTTCACTATTATTTACAGTTTAGCCTTTTTTGAACATGTTACTGAACTGACCTTTTTGTTTTTAATGTTTGTTTTTGAGAGAGAGAGCAAGCAGGGGAGGGGCAGAGAGAGAGGGAGACAGAGGATCTGAAGCACACAGCAGACAGCCTAATGCGGGACTTGAACTCATGAACCATGAGATCATGACCTGAGCCAGAGTCAGACACTCAGCAAAGCCACCCAGGTGCCCCGGAGCTGACCTTCTTAACCAACTACCTGTGTACATGTTTTTTTTTTAATGTGGTTGTAATGTTTTGTGTAAATACTAATTTGGGTCCTGTTTTCACTTTATCTGATAAATATATATATATATTTTATTTATTTTATTTTTTATTTTTTTAAGTAGGCTCCATGCCTAATGTGGGGCTTGAACTCATGACCCTGAGATCAAGAGTCGCATGCTCCACCAAATGAGCCAGCCAGTCAGTGATAAATATTTTTCATATTGCTATACATCCAGCTCTGATTACAGTCAACCTAACTGGGCAATAAAATTAAATTAGAGCACAACAGGGGCACCTGGGTGGCTTAGTCGGTTAAGCGTCCGACTTTCGCTTAGGTCATGATCTCGCGGTTCGTGGGTTCGAGCCCCGCGTCAGGCTCTGTGCTGACGGCCAGCTCAGAACCTGGAGCCTGTTTCAGTCTGTGACTTCCTCTCTCTCTGACCCTCCCCTGCTCACGCTGTCTCTCTCTCTCTCTCTCCTAGAAATAAATAAAAATATTAGGAAAAAAAAATAAATTAGAGCACAACAGAGTCTTTTTTTTTTTTTTAAGAGAGAGAGAGCTTGAGTAGGGGAGAGGGGTAGAGGGAGAGACAGAACTTTTTAAAATAATTTTTTTAACATTTATTTATTTTTGAGAGACAAAGCTTAAGCGGGAGAGGGGCAGAGAGAGAGGAGGAAACACTGAATCAGAGACTCCAGGCTCTGAGCTGTCAGCATAGAGCCCGATGCAGAGCTCAAACCCACAAACTGTGAGATCATGACCTGAGCTGAAGTCGGATGCTTAACTGACTGAGCCACCCAGATGCCCCTAGAGAGAGACTCTTTAATTTTTTTTTAATGTTTTATTTATTTTTGAGAGAGACAGACACTGTGAGCAGGGGAGGGTCAGAGAGAGGGGGAGATATAGAATCCAAAGACAGGCTCCAGGCCCTGAGCGGTCACCACAGAGCCTGATGTGGGGCTCGAACCCATGAACCGTGAGATCATGACCTAAGCCGAAGTCAGATGCTCAACGAACTGGGCCACCCAGGTGCCCCTAGAGAGAGAATCTTAAGCAGACTCACACTTAGCGCTAAGCCTAATGTGGGGGTCAATCCCACAATCTTGGGATCATGACCAGAGCCAAAATGAAGATCCAGGGGCGCCTGGTGGCTTAGTCGGTTAAGCGTCCGACTTTCACTTAGGTCATGATCTCGCGGTTCGTGGGTTCGAGCCCCGCGTCGGGCTCTGTGCTGACTGCCAGCTCAGAGCCTGGAGCCTGTTTCAGTCTGTGACTCCCTCTCTCTCTGACCCTCCCCTGCTCACACTGTCTCTCTCTCTCCTAGAAATAAATAAAACATTAAAAAAAAAATTAAAAAAAAAAAAATGAAGATCCAGATGCTCAACCAACTGAGCCAGCCACGCACCCTCAGAGTCTACTTTTAATTCCAATAAAAACCATTTCAGAAGACTTCCCATCCTCAGGCCTCCTCCAGTTCACGTTAACTGCTGGTTTACATTGATTGTTGCTGGTTACGTATTTCATCACTCAGTATCAGCTTTGCCATGCGATTTCTTTTTAGACTGAGTGTTTGGGGCTTTTCATCGAGAATATCTTCCAGTACAATATTCTAGGAATGTTTTACAGGGACAATGTCTGATTAAGTTTGGATGGTTGTTTTCACTAAAAAGATTGTTTGGTGGGTTACAGGTACATTTTGAATTTCCTAACTCCTACTGAGAGTTCTAACTGAAAATTTTAAATCAGTGATCATATTCATAGTTTCTCATCTAAATGCAGAAGTAAACACATTTTATGTACATACAAATTACTTGCGCTGCTCTTGGGAATTGTAGGCCCCTGAGTTTTACATCCAGAGGTTCTGATTTAGTAGATGAAGGTGAGCTTGGTGATGTGCAGTTTCAGTGAACACTGCAAGCAAATCTGACACATGTGGCCATTAGAGCACACTCTGAGAATCACACCTTGGTCACCTGACGTCTAATAAAGAAGGTTTGGCAGTGAGATTTTCCATCTCGATTACTCAAGAGTTTCTCTCCCATGAATTTTTTCATGTTGAATAAGGGATGTATTATAACTGAAAACTTTCCCACATTCATTACATTCATTGGGTTTTTCTCCAGTATGAATTCTCTGATGCCTAGTAAGCTGACATCGCTGACCAAAAGCCTTTTCACAATGATTACATTCATAAGGTTTCTCACCAGTGTGTGTCCTCTCATGTTTTGTGAGAGTTGACCGATCGTTAAAGGCTTTCCCACATTCGATGCATTCATAGGGCTTTTCTCCAGTATGTGTTCTCTGATGTTCAATAAGGCGTGACTTCTGACTGAAGGCTTTAAAACACATGTTACACTGATAAGGCTTGTCTCCAATGTGTGTTCTTTGATGCACAATAAGGGGAGATCTCTGGCTGAAAGCTTTTCCACAATGACTACACTCATAAGGTTTCTCTCCAGTATGGGTTCGCTGGTGCACAACAAGTTGTGATCGCTGCCGAAAAGATTTCCCACAGTCATTACATTCGTATGGTTTCTCTCCAGAATGAATTCTCTGATGTGAAAGAAGGTGGGAGCTCCCAGCGAAGGCTTTCCCACACTGATTACATTCAAAAGGTTTCTCTCCAGTATGAGTTCTCTGATGCTCAATAAGGTGAGAGCTCCCAGTGAAAGCTTTATCACACTGATTGCATTTATATGGCTTTTCTCCAGTGTGAATTCGCAGATGCCTAATAAGCTGAGTGCTTCTAATGAAGGACTTTCCACACTGGTTACATTCATAGGGTTTCTCTCCAGTGTGAGTCCTTTTATGTGCAACGAAGTCAGAGCTTTGGCTGAAGGACTTTCCACAATGACCACACTCATAAGGTTTCTCTCCAGTATGAATTCTTTGATGTACAATAAGGTTAGAGTTCCACCTGAAAGATTTTCCACATTCGTGACATTTGTATGGTTTTTCTCCGGTGTGAGTTCGCTGATGCCTAATAAGTTTGGAACTCTGGGTGAAGGACTTCCCACACTGGTTACATTCATAGGGCTTCTCTCCAGTGTGGGTTCTCTGGTGTACAACAAGGTCATAGCTCTGGCTGAAAGACTTCCCACACTGAGAACATTCATAGGGCTTTTCTCCAGTGTGTGTTCTCTGGTGTACAACAAGCTTAGAGCAACAGCTGAAAGATTTTCCACACTGATTACATGTATGTGGCTTCTTTCCAGTTTGAATGACGTCACAGTCGGTAAAAGATGAGGCCTCATGGAAGGCATGACATTCCTCCTCACATCTAAATGGTGCTTCTCCAGGATCATTTATTTCAGTTTGTACAAGGCATTTGTCACACTCATACTGGAGTTCTCTAAAACACACTGGCTTGTGTTCATTCAGAGACATGCTATGATTAATGATGTTTCTATAGTCTGTACAGTCATCGCTGTTCTCTGCTGAAAAAATTCTATTATGGTATCGAAGGGAGGTATCATAGTTGAAAGAGCCACTACTGACAGTATATTCATTAGGCTTTTTATTTCTTGTTTCAACATTTGTAAGTTTATTCAAGGAAATGCTCTGACAGAAGGCTCTGGGACTTTTGTGATTTTCATGGGGCTTCAGATCAGCCCAGCCTTTCTCATGATTAATGAAAACTGAATTCTGTTTCAACTTTTTAACCTGTGAGTCAAGTGTATGGAAATGTGCTCTTGTGGGTAAAGTTGGAGGTAGAAGGCTTAAATTCTGGTAACTTCCCCCACGGTCATGCTCACAGTGTTTCCCTTGAGCAAACAGTCTTTCTGGGGTGAATATCATTTGACTCAAAGAGTCCTCCTGGTGCTCCCTTAGCTGGTCCCTCCAATCCTGCCTTTCTCCTAATGACACCAAGCAGGGGCCCTCCTCCTGTATGCAGCATTTCATTTCTATGTTGTGGAATTCCACAGCAATATCCTCTTTGGAAGCTGACTCTTCCTTTTCAAGCATATTCTTCCAGTCTGAAAGAAATCCAAAATACTGAATTACTGAAGATGTGTTAGAGGGACACGGTGGGATGAAGGAGACCAAATATGGGAGGTATCTCTGGGTTTGTTCCTAACCCATGGATTGTAATTTCGTGCAGTATAAAAAACGAGCAAAGATAATGAAGAGGCAACCCAGGAGGACTGGTCCCCAAAGAAGGAGCAGAGAAATAAGAATCAGCAGGGGAGGGTAAAGAATAAAGGAGAAATCCACAGAAAGAATTGGGTCTAAAGGTATATAGCCCCCAAGAACCACAAAAAATACCTACATTCTAATTGCTGGAACCATGACTATGGTACCTGATTTGGATAAGGGGTCCTTGCAGATGTTTAAGTTAAGGAACTTGAGATAGGGAGAGTATCTGTGTCGGCCCTAAATGTCACTGGGAATGTCCTTGTAAAAGGGAGGTAGAGAGAGATTTGACACACACAGAGAAGGTGATTATGAACATGGAGCAAAGAGATTTGGAGATGCCGACCTTAAAGACTGAAGTGATGTGGGCACAAACCAAGGAATGCTGCAGCCACCAGAAGCAGGAAGAGACAAGGAACAGATTTCCTTCTGGACCCTCCCAGGGAGCATGACTCTGCTGCCATGGTATTGATTTCAGGTTTCTGGCCTCCAAAACTGTAGAAGAATGAATTTGTGTTGTTTGAACCCACCTAACTGGTAATATTACAGCAGCCACAGGAATTTAATACAGGAGCCTACCTGGCGCCTTGATCTAGATTCTTGCTGACCAGAATCTTAAGTCTATTTATTTTCTGGTTCTGGATCTTGAAACAGGATCCCAAACATCAACACTGACTTAATATTCCCAACACACCATTTCTACTATTTCTTCAGGCTACCCACAGAAAAAAGACTCTTTCACCACTCCAAATCAATGCCACAGACACCCAGAAAAGCACTGTCATCCTTGAAACAGTGTGGTTGGGCAGGCTGGGCTGCAACTGGGCTTCACTAACCAGCAACTTCTGAAGCTCATTCTCCTTGGAGGTAAGCCAGGAATAAAAATCCTTAGCTTACAGGGTTTACTTTGCTGCACAAATGAACCGATATGTGAGTCCCACACGGTGCCTGGCACAGAGTGCACTGTTAGTTCACGGTACCATCGATCTCGTCACTCCTGATTGTCCTAATAGGGTCTCCTCCCTCTGTTGAAATACTGGGCTTCTAACAGGTGCTACAGGTTCCCAGCCCAGGACCCTTGCCTGAGTTCTCCAATATTCTCCCTTTACTTGTCACGCTTCGCATTTTAGGCATATAGCTCCCCACATCTAATATTATCAAGGCCTCTGCTCTCGTCCCCAGGCTTCACTCTCCACGTCTGCCATGGAGACAAGGATCCTCCATTTGGCAACTATAGAGTGAACTATACTCTGTGGCCCTCCTTTGACTTCCAGGAGGACATTTCCCTCTTGGACAAAGTCTTTACCTAAGGTCACCCTCCATGGGCAACACTGCTCTACAAGACTCTGCTGTGTTCCCTTTTGATGTCGCCTTGGAATCCCTGATGATGAGAACTTTTTCAAATGAAACAATGGCCCAACGAATGGGATTGAAAGGGTATCTGGGAATGAGGAAGAAAGAAGTCTTTGGGTGGCTGATATGTGTCTAAATTGTGCCTGGTCATTGGAAACTGGGCAAAGGAGGTTACACATTTTTCAGCAGTGTCTCCATTAAGATTGCAAAATGAGGAAAACAGGCTGCACAAGTCAGCTGGAATGTGACATCTATGACAGATGAGAAGAAAGATGCTGCACACAAACTGGCATCATGCGAATGATCAAGAACAAATAAAAGTAGGTGACACTTCAGAGAGAAAAATAACAATAACAGAGGTTGCCAGTAGGAGTTACAGGGTAAGAAGCAGCAAGAACAAATAAATGCAACACCCCTGGCTAGGGGAATGCAGAAGGCAGTGTGAAGGTCGAAGGTAGTGTGAAGGAACATGATGCTTACTGCTGTGAGTCATGTACTGAAGGATTCCAACTAGAAGACATATAGAAAAAGGTAAAACTGGGGCGTCTGGAGGGCTCAGTCAGTTAAGTGGCCGACTTCGGCTCAGGTCATGATCTCACGGTTCGTGGGTTCAAGCCCCGCGTTGGGGCTAGCTCAGAGCTAGACTCTCAGCTAGCTCAGAGTCTGGAGCCTGCTTCAGATTCTGTATCTCCCTCTCTCTCTGACCCTCCCCTGCTCATGCTGTCTGTCTCTCTCAGAAATATATAAAAACATTAAAAAGTTTTGAAAAAGGTAAAACTAGAGAGAGTAAAAGAACCAGTGGTTTCCAGGAGTTAGGACGGAGGGAGGGAGAATAGGTGGAGCAAAGAGGATGTTTAGGGCAGTGGAGCTGCTTTGCATACTAGAATGATAGATACATGGCATCATACATCTGCCCAGAGTGTACAACCCAAGAGTGAACCTAATGTAAACTGTTGATCTCTACTGGTAATAATGTGTTAATACAGCTTCATCCAGTATACTTTTTTAGAGAGAGCACACATGTGCATGCAGCTTGCACACCCATGAGTGGGGGAGCAGCAAAGAGAGGGAGAGCCTAAGCAGGTTCCATGCCCAGTGCAGAGTCCCACAACCATTGAGACCATGACTTGAGCTGAAATAAACAGTTGGACACTTAGCCGAATGAACCACCCAGGCGCCCCATACAGCTTCACCCATTGTAACAAATGTACCACAGAATATAAAATATTAATAACAGAGAAAACTGTATGTGTGTTGGGGGAGTAGAGGGTGAAATACTGGAACTCTGTACTTTCTGCTCAACTTTCTGTAAATATAAAATTGTTCTAATAAGTAAAATATACTAATTAAAACAGAACAACAAAAACCAGAAGCAGTTCAATTAGTCGGGATGATGAACATGTTCTAAATTGATCATAGTGATGGATGCACATGCTTTGAATATACTAAAATCCTTTGCGTACTTTAAATGAGTGCGTTGTATGGTATGTGAATTGTATCCGACATAGCTATTAAAAAAAAAGAGCGAATCAGGCTGATATACTGGGACATATCAGGAAATGGAGTAGGTCAAGGAACTGACTTAGTAGAAATCCTTCTGGAAGGAATATGTCATTGCCACTTCCCAGGACGCACAAGTTCTCAACATACCTCTGGATCATCTAGAAGTTATAGGAATGTCCAACACAGAGGAGGGATGGACACCCATCACAGGGTAAAGACCAGGTCTGAAGGAGAAGTCTGAGGAGTTGCTGCCCTAGGTGGAGGTCAGGACGAAGGACTCAAGGAAAAGGGGGCATAAGGACCTGGGAGTAGATGAAGCAGCTAAGGGGTGAAGACCAAAGGGAAGATGGGAACAGAAAAGAACCCGTACATAAGAAATGCCAGGACAACAGTGACATGTGGTTTTCATGGACTGGGGATGGAGGGATGGGCTGATGTGGCTGAGAATGCAGCTTGTTGGACGCCTGAGGAAGCTCCCTGCTCCTCCTCCCCTCCTCGGACCCAGGATCCTGGGGAGAGCTCTCTGGCCACATTAACTCACCAGGCCTCTGGTTTGCTCTCACCTTGGGGAGGTCCATGCTCTTCCCTCCATGGGTCTTGTCCTTGCTCCAGCCAGCAGATCACATTTGGTTTCGAAAGCAGAAGCCCTGGTCAGTGAGGGAAAAACAAGGCTTTGTGCTCTGCTTGGGGAGGAAGAGAACTATATCCTTTGGCCCGGCTATCCGTTGCTAGGGTCAGATGTGGATGGACTAGGAAGGCCCTGCCCATCCCCAAAATAATCCCAGCAAAACTCTTGGCTCCTTAGAGGCAGAAAAGTGACAGTATCTGGGATCTGCATCTCAAAGGAACCTATTTCTAGAATGTTCTGGCCCAGCCCAGGCATACCCTTAAGAAGAGCCAGAGCTTTGAGTCCCTGAAGCAGAAACTGCTGCAATGGACGGAGACTATCTTACCCAGGAAGGCCAGGTGGCTGCAGATCTCCAGAGTTACGTTGTGGTACAGTGTCCTCTGGGCAGGATCCAGCTGTCTCCACTCGTCTCGCGTGAAGGTCACAGCCACATCCTGGAAGCTCACAGGTGGCTGCAACATCACCTGTATTACCATACATTGTGGACGCGGGGGCGGGGAGGGGATGGCGCAGTATAGGGAGCACGAGGATGTGGCCCGACACCCATGAGCACTCATGGGGTTCCCACCTTTGGGACCAGACCCAGACCCAGGCCCATGGTGTTTTCACTTCTCTCTGGGTGTCTCCTCTACCCCTGGTCACACTAGTGCTTCTGATTTCCTGTACTGGGAAACAACAGGAACCCCACTCAGAGATCCCACCCCTCACTTCTCTACAAAGTCACAGATTTGAGGCCAAAGAGGATGTTCTAAACCAGGGGTCAGCAAACTGTGGCCTGCAGGACAAATCAGGGCCGTGGTATGTGTTCATAAGGCTAATGCCACGAACTGAATTGTTTCCTCCCAATTTCACATATTGAGGGCCCCCAAAGTGACAGGGCCTTTACAGAAGTAATTAAAGGCTAATGGAGGTCATGAGGGCAGGGCTCTAATGCGATGAGACTGGTGTCCTTATGAGAGGAAGAGGAGACACCAGAGGCCTCTCTCCGTTCCATGTGAGGACACAGAGGTGGTGCCACTGGCAAGCCAGGAGACAGTCCTCATCAGAAAGCAACACTCCTGCACTTTGATCTCGGATTTCCAGTCTCCAGAACTATGAGAAAACAAAAGTCTGCTGCTTAAGCCACCCAGCCTGTGGTATTTTGTCATGGCAGCACAAACAGACTAATATAGCTAAGAAGGGATTTTTACATTTTTAAATCCATTTTTCACCATGTGCAAAAATGATGGGACAAAGGCTGTATGTGGCCCACAGAGCCTAAAATAGTTCCTACCTGGTCCTTTACGGAGAGCGCTGGGGCAAGCCTGCTCTCAAGGAAGTCCACCAGCATGCAAAGAGCCACGTGTCCTGGCCCTGGGGCCAGGCCTGAGATAGCATCTCAGCTTCACGACTTACTTGAGGGACGCCTGGACACGTCCCTGAACTCCTCTGGCCTGAGCTGCCAGCCCTCATGAAGACAGCCTCCCACATCAGGGAGTCTCACAGGACATGAGGGGGAGCACCCAGGCACCCAGTAAGCACACAGATAATGTGTGTGGTGATGGCACCCTGAACGAGGTCAGGGATCCGCTCTTCAACCCGCTGTGCGCCACACTGTGAGCCATCTAAGGTCAACCATGACACTTTAAGGGGACACTCTCGGCTGCGCTCCTGAGTAGTCTCAGTGAGGGTTGAGGGCCCAGTGTGGCTAAATGGGGCATGGAGGCCTAGTTCTGCCCATCCTTGAGAACTTGCTGGGCACCCATCGCAAACAGTCTGAACCACAGGGCACCAGCTGTCCCAAGGGACCAGGTGTGGGGGACTCATGCTGGGTCTGACCCTAGGAGTTCCCCGCTCATCCATAGAGAGAAGGTGTTTTATCTGCAGAGAGCCCTTGACTTTCACATGAAGGCACAGGGCAACATTCCAGTGCTCTGATGTGCTGGCCTGAGGACGTGGGGGCTACAGCTGAGGAGACTGGCAATGAGAGAAAAGGTCCCTAACTCACCTGGGATGGGACTGGCTGAGAATGTGCTTCTGTTTCCTCCTCATACCCGAAGAAGCTGTCATGGAGAGGGCAGGGATCCTCAGGCGGCAGGGCTGGCGAAGGAGGGAACAATTAGCAATTCAGCCCCACCTCAGTAAGCCCACGTGACAGAAACCACCAGCGACCTTGACAAAGGAGAGGGCTACCAGTGCCATTTGAGGAACATTCCCCTGGGGGTTGAGGGGCTAGGAGACAGGGCTCTGACCAATTGCCTAAAAGTCCAAGGCTCTGAGGTCAGCTGTGGCAGCCAAGTCAGCTTTCCAGATGTGGAGTGGAGGTCTGAGCCTAGGGATGGAGGTGGGCTACCCTAGGCCCAAGCTAAAGGCCCAGGCACATGCTGGTGTATCTGAAATGTGAACCCACAGATAAAGAGTCATCCTTTGACACCCAAATAAAGGACTATCCAGTTCCTCTTGTCATTTTAAGAGACTAAATCGGAGGAGACAGAAGCAGAGTGTTAAGACAATTGTACAAATTTAAGACATCTTAATGAAACATCAGCTAATTTCCCAAGAAAACCGCACAAGTTTTGAATACCAGTGAAACATGAGCTAGCTTCGAGAAAAAAAAAGATTCACAACTGTAAAATATCACATAAAACATCAGCTGATTTCCAAAAATGGGGGTGAGGGGAATGGGGACAAAGATGAAAATCCCCAGGAGGACAGCTAAGGGCTCTGTGAGGGGTGTCACCCAGGTGCACCCTCCCCCAAGCCACTCTGGAGGTGCAGGATGCTGCCCCCGGTGTGGGGCGTGCCCATCACCTGCCGCTTTATTGGTTTGCCATTGTTTCCCAGCCTCTACTTGTCTAACAGCTTGGCTGCAGGCATGTGACTGTCCCACTGAGACAGCTGGGTGAAGGCCCCGTCCAATCTGGCCCCCAAATCTTCCTCATATTTGACTCCTGCTCACCCGCTTGTACCAGAAGCACACCCACGCCTGTGTGCGCCCACACACCAGCTCTTGTCACTGGTCATTTGGGCTGAGCCAACATTCCAGAAATCTACGCTGCATTTGTGCGTCTGTTCACATAGAGCCACTGCTCATTCCGCCAGACGGCATCTTTTATTTGCATGGCGCCATCCAGGTCACAACCTTGAACCCTCACCCCCTTGGAACTCAGAACAGCTACCATCTGGGCTGGCGGCCCAGGGAGACTTGCGACTCTCATTCACTGCTTCCAGGAGGCAGACACTTGCTGTTCTCCCAGGACTGAATGCTGGCATTTTTCTTGTTCCGCTTTCTCTGTAAAACCCATTTCCCTGAAGAATCAAGAAGCACTTGCATGTCTTGGAAATCGTGCTCTCCCCATGCCTCACGCTTGTGGCAATTCTCACCTTTGCCTTCAAATGTCTGGACAGGCTCCTCTCCCAGTGTCATCTCCTCTTCGAGCTTCCCCAGGTGCTGGGGCTTCCCGTAGGCCCTGAGCTCCCCGGAGAGTATGCTGGGGGCAGCTCCTGGCCACAGCCAGCAGGACCACGGTGGCTGCAGATGGACCAGGGCCTCGGCACTTGTGGCTGCTGGAACCAGCAGCAGCTTCCCACTGTTCTCTCGCTTCCAAGACAATCTCTTTTGAGAACTCTACTGCCTCCAACGTGGCTAAGGCTTGAGAACTCCTTTTCCAAGCTTAATTCTGCAGATGCTCTCTGCTGGTCATCACCTTCACGGTGGGTCCCAATCTCTCTCACACAGACCTAATATTCTTCAGGCAAAACGAGAACCCAAATTCTCTGAGAATCGCTGTAAAAAGGAGAGAGTGCTGAGCAACATATTCAATACTTAAGCAGAAGATGATGGCTTTAAAACGCAGGGCTGTGTCTGACCTTGGCGCTCGTGCCAGCACAGATAAGGCAGCAATAAACATGCAAGAAATGGAATGACAGGATGATTCGAATAGCTGTCAAATAATAAGTTTTAGAGGAAAACCATTTACATTCTATTAAAAACCATTTATTTTTTTTTTTTTTAAATATTTTTATTTATTTCTAGGAGAGCGAGAGAGACCGCGTGAGCAGGGGAGGGTCAGAGAGAGAGGGAGATACAGATTCTGAAATAGGCTCCAGACTCTGAGCTGGCAGTCAGCACAGAGCCCGACGCGGGGCTCGAACCCACGAACCGCGAGATCATGACCTAAGCGAAAGTCGGACGCTCAACCGACTAAGCCACCCAGGCGCCCCTATTAAAAACCATTTAAATCAAAGCATAAGTCTGTGACAAAAAGTTCGACTTTCAACTTTAGAGCTGGTATGAGTATGCATTAACCTGACTCCTGTAACAACCCCCACCCCAAAAAGGTAAAAGTTCCATCCGTCCTGTACAATGGAATGGCCACACCGTCCACAGCACACACCTAACATAGTGAGCATGCGTAACAGGTTGACTCAGTAGGTCTGGGCTACCCATGACCCACACATTTCAAAGAAAGGCCTGTTCCCTGACCAACTAGCTGCTGAGCCCTTGGGGATATCCTACCTGATAAACTGTCTCTGTATACTTGGGGACACCCCTACTCAGTCTGCATCAGGCTCAACTGAAGGACCAGGCCACGAAAAGAACCACATCTCCAGGAAGCGTGAGCAAGTTGGCCCTTTCTGCACAGCAGTGGTTCTCAACTGGGGGCAGGGGTGCCCTCAAGAGACATCTGGCAATGTCTGAAGACACATGGTTGTCACAACTTTCAGAGGGTGAGTGTGGAGGGTAGGCAGAAGTGAGAGGCAGTACTAAACACTTCCCCTACCCAAGAATGACTCGGCTTCCAGTGTCAACAGTGCCAAGGTTGAGAAACTGCTCTACTAGGAAACAGGAACTTGGGGGCAAGGCTGTGTCACAGGGACACCAGGACTCTTCAGCTCCAGACCCTTCTCACAGATTGGCAGAGCTGCAGGACTGGCTCACTCAGTCCTCTTTATTTTCCGCAACTCCTCTTCCTGAATAAAACTCAGAAGCTACTGAAGACAGAAGTGACGACAAACTCTGAGCACTCTCACCTCTTACTCACCAGGAAGAGGACCCACACAAAAAGCTATCACCTACCAGGATGCCACTAAACCTGTGTCCACACCACCCCTTCCTCCCCTGCCCGCAGCACAGGGCAGCTGTCTCAGCTGATCCCTCCTTTTGCACACTGATTGGGGGTTTTGCAAAATTTTTGGGCCATGTCCGTGGTTGGCTGACTAATGCCCCCAAAAGACATCCATGTGCTCATCCCTAGAACCTGTGAATATGTTACCTGGTATGGCAAACGGGACTCTGGAAACAGGGAGAATATCCTGGATTTTCTGCTTTCTTATTTATTGCTGACAAAGAGGGAGGAAGGAGGGTCAGGGACAGAGGAGAGGTGATGATAGAAGCAGAGGATCCTGGGCTACAAACCTGCATATTGTCTCTACCTGAGGCACCGCAGACCGCTCACACAGGCACTTCCCAACCTGGAAATGTTGAACTCTCTGATCTTCACGTGTGTACTGAGAATGACACTTCAAGTCCTTCTTCTTCTCCTTCGCCTTCTTCTTTTTTTTTTTTTTTTTTGGAGAGAGCAAGCAAGCTGGGGTGGAGGGAGAGAGTAGGAGAGAGGGAGGGAGAATCTCAAGCAGGCTACACACTCAGTGCAGAGCCCGACACGGGGCTCAATCAAATGACCCTGGGATCGTGACTTGAGCCAAAATCAAGAGTCAGACACCCAACTGACTGAGTCACTCAGGTGTCCCTGAAGTCCTTCTTGACTCCTCCTTCACACTCACCTGTCACATTCAGTTGGTCACAAAGATCCAGGGTCCCACATTTCAAATATCATGTACCTCTCCACACCCTTCATCCCCAATGTCTGGCCTAACTATTGTTCTTTGCTTGAGTTACTGAAGAAGATCTGACTGGGTCTTATTTCCTGTCTTTCCCCCTTTCTTCCAGGAAGCCACAGGGACCACAGTAGAATGCAGCTTCTGTCACTATATGGCAGTTTCCCACTGTCTTCAGGTTAAAGTTCAAATTCCTCCGCAAGCTCTGGAAGTTCCTTTCTGTATTAAAAGTACACACAAGATGGGGTGTCTAGGTGGCTCAGTCGGTTAAGCATCCAATTCAGCTCAGATCATGATCTCGCAGTTGATGAGTTCAAAGCCCCACGCTGGGCTCTGTGCTGACATCTCAGAGCCTGAAGCCCACTTCAGATTCTGTGTCTCCCTCTCTCTCTCTCTCTGCCCCTTCCCCACTTGCACTCTGTCTTTCAAAAATAAATAAACATTAAAATAAAATAAAATAAAATAAAATAACATGTGAAATGGCAGTTCAGACACTGAATTGGGAAAAGCCCAGTTTGTTCTCCCAAGTTTCTCCTTTACTCCCACACTCGTAACAGTTCTGACCCTTCTGGTCACCAAATGTGTGGGATTTTCCCACACCAAACACTTCTCTGTGACATGAGCAGGGTGTCCACCAATTTAACTCAGATCCCACAGATTAAGGGCTCAGTTCCACAAGACTGCCCCAATCTCTCCATAAGTAGCAGATTCCCAAGTTACCCACAACTTCTCTCTGGCTTAGCTACGAATCGAAGATTCCTATGACCTCCTCCCCCTTAGATCCCATTATTTGCTGGAGTGGCTCAGAGAACTCAAGGAAACATATACATTTGCCAGTTTATTAAAGTATATGATAAAGGACACAGAGGAACAGCCAGATAAAGAGATACATGGGGTGAGGTCTGGGAGCGTGCTGAGTATAGGAGTTGGGGTGTGTCACCCTCCAGGAATGTGGTAGATGTGTTCCCCAACCTGCAAGCTCTCCAAACCCCATACTATTGGGATTTCTAATGGAGGCTTCCCCATGCTAGCAGGATCAATTATTAACTTTATTTCCAGCCCCTCTCTCCTCTCTAGAGAAGTCAGAGTCCAGGACTGAAAATTCCAAGCTTCTAGGCATGGCTTGGTCTTTCTGTTGATCACATTGCATCCAGAAGCCCACCCAGAGCTCTTCATTTGAGCAAAAGACGTCCTTATCACTTCGGAAATTACAAGGGTTTTAGGAGATCTGTGCCGAGAATGGGGCAGAGACGAATATATGTATTTTCTATTATCTCAAAGATGCTCAGTGCTTTCAGTGAGTCCTTGAATCAGTCTTTCAATTACTGACTCCACAAGCTCCACCTCAGCCACTGACATGTGATCTTCCATCTCTAATTCCGTGGCCATTAGGGGCCATGTGAATGAAACTGGGTTTCTGGTGAGGTTCACACACTGGGGTGCCCACTCTGTTCTAAAGACGGTAAGATACAAAAAGAAAACATGCAAGGGAAACAGCAAGGACAAAAAGCAGCACTGAAATCTCCACAAATGAGCAGAAAGTAAAGCAAAGTGGTGCCAGGTGTTGGGTCTGGCTCCTGCAGCAGCAGAGGATGAGCCATGTTCTAGGCTGACAGCCTAGAAACTGCTTGGAATTCTCTCTCTCTCTCTCTCTCTCTCTCTCTCCCCCTCTCAGCTTACAGATGTGTGCATGTACTACACTCTCTCAAAATAAATAAATAATCTTAAAAAAAAAACACAAAACTATGAGTACAGAAATCCCACCATGAAAAAGACGGAAAAGTTTAAGGATAAAGATGTTGATAACATGATAGAAAAAAAAGGAATGTGGCCTAAACTTCAGTGCAATGTCATTAAGAGAAAGACATTTTTTAGGGATAAAAGGCTGTAGGAAGATACAATAATCTTGGCTATTCATTTGTACAGCACATACCACAGCTTAAATATATGAAGCAAAAACTTGGTAACATAAAGGAAACAGAAGAAAAACCACATGGGAAACTTCAACCCACATTTTAGAATTTGACTGATCAAGGGGCGCCTGGGTGGCTTAGTCGGTTGAGCGTCCGACTTTCGCTTAGGTCATGATCTCGCGGTTCGTGGGTTCGAGCCCCGCGTCGGGCTCTGTGCTGACTGCCAGCTCAGAGCCTGGAGCCTGTTTCAGTCTGTGACTCCCTCTCTCTCTGACCCTCCCCTGCTCACGCTGTCTCTCTCTCTCTCTCCTAGAAATAAATAAAAACATTAAAAAAAAAAAAAAAGAATTTGACTGATCAAGAAAACAAAGTAGATTATAAAACAGGGGAACCTGGGTAGCTCAGTCAGTTACGTGTCCAACTCTTGATTTCGGCTCTAGTCACGATCTCCCAGTTTGTGGGTTTAAGCCCCATACAGCTCTCTGAGCTGACAGAGTGGAGTCTGCTTGGGATTCTCTCTCTCCTCCTCTCTTTGCCCCCTCCCTGCTTGCACTCTCTCTCTCAAAATAAATGCACATTAAAAAAAAGAATATAAAATAAAATGTATATAAATTCAAATTAGTTTAAATATAACGCCAAGCTGAATTATATACACAGTTATTTATTTACACACCAAAGAATTCTTTGGTTTGCCCACAGAAAATTAACAGTATGTCCCCATTTTGTGGATGAGGAAACTGAGGCAGAAAGCGTGAATAAAACTTAGACAAGGCCTCATGATGAGTAGGAATCCAGGAGCTCCGCAGCCCAAGGCGCTGAGCACACCGCCATCTTGGTTCTCCGCCTCTCCCTCTGGTACGCCGCTGCCCAGCCTGCTGCCTCTGCCCTCTCTCTCAGCATCTTCCATCAAGAACCCACCCCTCAGCCTCTCTCACTTGGAAGCGCTGCACAATCTGCCCCAGGCTACCGGCCACCTTCTCTGCCTGCCACTGATGGTTTTTGAGTCCTAGGTAGTGTGAGACTATAGGATGCAACATCCGTCCCATCTTTATCCCCCTTACGGCAGCAAGTCCATGCTCTCGTTTCCTCTTCCGGCCCCTCTCACTATTATCCGATCTGTGCAGACAAGTCCACCTCTTAATTCACTCCAATCAATGACCCTAGGCTCTCCCACCTTCCAGGCACACAGACTCCTCTGAGCCGACACCCTCCCAAGTGGCTCCCTTCAACTTCTCAGGAGAGAGACTTTCCTTCTGGCCCAGTAAACTCCTGCATCCCAGAACCCCCACCCTTACTTCCATGCTTCTCCTCATGCTTACCTCCTCCTCCTTCCTCATGGAAGTAAGGCCCTTTGAGCAGCCAGCACCTCAGTCCCCTCTTCTTCACTCTGTCCATCCTCTCTCTACCCTCACTCCTGAACACACACACTACAAATGTACACCACACCCAAGAAAGCTGACCACGATTCAGATGATGCTATCTCATTCTGCCACTCCTGCCCATCCTTGGGTAGTCTCCTACTGCCTGTAACCATTTCCACTCTCCTATCATCTCCTTCCTTGTCTGGAGGCGTCCAAGGGCGAGGTCTGGGAACACTACTCGGCAGCCAGAGGGACTGCTTTCAAAGTCCCAGCTCCACCATTTGCCTCTCTACAGACTTCCTTAGCCTCACTAGGCCTCAGTCTCCTCATCTGTAGACATCTGGGGAACAGCGAGCCTTGTGTCAAGGTGCTGCTGTGAGGATTAAATGAGCTGTATTTATAGAGCTAATATCATGCTGACCCACAGGACACATTTAGTCACATACATTGTGCATAAAATTCCTCTTCTATACCTCATACTGGACCTGGGATGGGCCTGGTGGGGCAGGGTCCCTCTGTCTAGAGGGCTGAGGCAGAGGTTGTTTTCTTTTTCTTCCTTTCCCAGGTTACTCTTTCCTTCCCTGGAGAGTGGGGTTTCAAGTGCTCCCCCAGGCTTCAAGTTCAGCCCAGATGCCACCCCCCGCCCCCATGCTCCCTGCCAATGCCACTTCCTCCTCTATTTCCAGCCCACCTCCAACAGACTCCCCAACTCAACACAGCTGAGTGACCGGGAATTCTGTGACCTCCATCTTGGCTCCTCACTAGAAATGTAAACTCAAAGAGTCCTCAGCTCTTCTCATCCCCTTGGCATTCCCTCTTGCACAGAGTTATTTCTACAGCCAGACGCTTCTACTCTGAGGCTCTCTGAAATCCAACTCTAAGCCCTCACGCAAAGGATAGCTTCATGTCCGTGTTCTTCATACCTCCAGCCCCTTCTCTCACCCAGCCCTTAACCTGCAGTATCAACAAACACAACCAACACCCTGGACCCAAAGTTTGCTGATGCTCTTCTCGGACTGCCCCTAATTCTTTGTTCGCTTGGAAAGCACACACTTGCTTTTCAAAGTGAGTTCAAGTTCACATACCAGTGGGAGAAAATGTGTCCAAGTTCTGAGGCTGGGACGGCCTCTGGGGTAAAGGAAGCCTCACTTGCCTGGTTCTGCTGCCAGCAGGCATAGGCTACCACCTCCTGCAGGGCAGGTGGCGGTAAGGAACTGCGGGAAGAAAAAAGACGTGAGGCTAGGCCTGGGTGGGCAAGCCCCAGATTCTCACAGGCCGGCCTGAGACCCTCAACAACAGCTGGCCTCCTTTGCGGCAGGTCTTCAACCAAACCGGCCCCCGGCCCTGTCTCGGAGCAAGAGAACCTCAGACAAGATCACATCCAGCCACGCTCTGCTGCAGGAAAGCCCCTGGCTGCACTAGCTTCCTCCCGATTTCTGCAGCGGGGTTCGGGGGGACCC